CAATTGCGAGGACCTACTGGATATTGAAGTCCCAACAGTTTTGGCCTCGTGGTGATTAACAGAAAGTGTAGCAAATTATGAGGCAATCGCAGTGTTCCGCCGATTGCTGACAAGGAACGATTAACATATCTGGGCAAACTCTGTTGATCCACCGGTTGCGTTATTTTCCTTAAATTAGTAGTAATGTAATTGCTCTTGTAGAAGATAAAGCTCTGTACTACGCTGTCTCTGTAGAAATATTGGGGAAAAAATAGTTTACATTCATTCTGAACCAAAAAGGGTGCCAAAGGGCTCATTGTCACGTCTGATGAAAGAACCTAACATCTTTTTTTCCCTTGACGTGAGTTGTGTTTAAATGAAGCATATGGGTTTAAATATTCGACTTCATCTTGTTTGGGACTGAGGCATAATTGTTATTTGCTATTGTTGGTTTACTATCCTCTTACAATTCTCTTCAGTAGAGGAAACATGTCAATTAACAAAAGTTTACAAACACCATCATCTATGGAATCAAAGAAAAAGCCAATGCTGATCCAACAACACAACGGTCCAATTGGTTGAATAAAATAGCAAAATAGGGGTTGAAAAATGAAAACGGGAAAGTTAACTTAGCTTCTAAGATCCAACCACTATATAAATTCAAACTCTTTGGCCAACATAAAATGCTCCACAAGAGCTAAGAGTATGAGAACCGAGAAAACTACGAGTACATTCGGAATTTAGAACTAATATTCCATCAAATTTTACAAACTAATATGTACAGGGACAACGATTAGGATAAACAAAGGAAAAGCTCATTGTGCATTCATATCTTAATTGAAATTCGTATACAAATTAGCAAGATCTGCATGAGACAAGCATAATTAAGCAGCCAAATATTGGTATAATGAATCCAAGCACTCATCAGGCAGCATTCTGATAGCGATATAGATTCCTGCAAAACACATTTTTGCTTTCAGTATATACAAGAGCCAAAAAGAAAAGAACAGGGAGGGAGGGTGTGAACTTCTAGAATGCATGAGTAGATGAACAGAAATGCTTCTTCAAATGGATTAATGTTACTAGCAACATGGCTAATGCAGAAGACAGGAAAGATGTGAACTTATACGCCATCTCTCATGCATAAGCAACTAAAGAAACCAGAAACACCTACTGCTTAAATAAAGATACTGATGCAGAAAAGCAAGGCTAATTAGGGGAATGATAGTTACAGTTAGAAGTGTGTTGACTTGGCTGTCCGGGATCGATTAGGCTCAACTCCATATCATGAGTTGCAGACCAACCAGGTTCATATGTTTCAAGAAATCCAATCTTAGCCTTATTTGGGAGATCATGTGGGTGAACAAATGGAACTCCCGGTGGCCATCCAATTTCCATTCTTATGTTCGTACATGGGCAATCAAGTGACTGGATGTGACTTTCACAATCCTTTAAGGTGCAGAACCTCAGCTTGATGCCCTTTTTATCAGCTATGTCTTGAACTCTCTCTTTGAGAACTCTTTGTGCCTCCAATCTCAACCTCTTTGAAGGTGGAAGAGGTTTAGATCTTGAGTTACTCTTCCTCCTCCTCATCATGGGCTTCATAGATCCTGTACCAGCATTTCATCAATCCAAGGACCTGTTGTTAAAAGCTTCTTACTAAGGAATACTAGCAGAAAAGAGCTCATTTCAATGTTTAAAAAATCCAGCCAGCAGTAATATATTGCTTGAGGAAAAGTAAAAAACACCAAAACTATCAGAATTACGAGAAAACATGGGAGAATAAAACACAAGAAAATGTAACAATAAAAAGGCATCCTTCTTTAGTTCCATTACTTGGAAACTGCAAGTAGATTCGGCTTCTAGATACCTCCTTCACAGTGATACAGAAAGAAACTAACAGAATCTGGCACCTTTTAACTCATAAAATTTAACCAATAGAGCCTGCTTTATCTACTTTGACCATGTTTGAAAGTCATTTCCAGATATTTGAGATAATAACAGCCCTTCAGGTCCTCAACAAGCAAAACTAAGACCTTTCACTTCCAATTTTTAAAAAACGGCTAAGCTTGTCACAAAAATTTTCATATTACTGACCACAATCATACGTGATACAGCAGCTTCAGTCAGCATTGTGTTTTTGTTCTGAATAAATCTTCAAAATTAACATCAAATGCTTTTCTTTGGATGTATTTGGAAGGAAAGGAATTAAGATATTTTGAAGGTACAACCAGCTCCTTACAGAAAATTAAGATGAATTGTATCCTTCTTTTGAGTTTTTGGTCTAATTCTGAGTGCATAGATGATCCTAATACAAGTCAAGATGTCTTGGATTCCTTGTAAGAAGAAGAAGGAATGCTGTGTTGAGGTTCTTTTCTCTGATGTAGCACCCATGTTTTGGTTTCCAGCACAATCTTTGTGCTTTGTTTATATATATATATATATATGTATAAACAGGAATGCATTACCATCCTAAAAAAAAAATTAATACTTCTGTTCGGAGGTATTAGTTGTGTGGACTCATAATCATGATAACTCTAACTAGACGCTATTTTAGACTCACATTTTTCAAAAACCATAAAAGTTTCAAGATTATGAACAACCTTCTTTCCTAATCAAGTTGTCAACTGGCACTCCAACTGAAAACATTAGGGAGCACCATCCATGAAAGCCAATTCTAAGTCACCTTATCCTTATCGTGTCTACTAATTCATTTAAATATAAAAAAGAGAATAGAAACAAAAAAGTAATAATTCTAGATTTTCATTTCCACACTGATAATGCAAATAGGAAAAAAGAAAAAAAGGATGTCCTACCATCTTGGACTGTTGGAAAGTTGAATGTAGGGAAATTGCTCCTGTTAAGCAACTGATCAGTTGATCTCTGCATGAAGTCATCAACTGGTACGGGAAGCTGGAATTGAGCTTCAACCCCGTGGCCAGCAGCCCGCATCTCTGTACAATTGAGGTTGGTCATGGACTTGGGCATAAGTTTAAAAGAAAGGGAACAGCGTCCATACATGCTACCCTGCTGATTACCAATGTCTGTCCGATGAAGTGCAGGGCTGATATAGCCCGCAGTTGCCTGATATAATGCAAGGCCAGGATAAACTATTGCTTCCTGGGGGCCAAGATCACCATCCACAAGAACCCAGTGACCGTGAAAATCTCTCACGTGTAGACCAGGCCTATCCGACTTAACAATTGTAACAAGGCTTCTGTCAACCTGATGCTCATGATCCGAGAACATCCCTAACTGACCATCCTCTTGCGTTGTCAGGCCATGGTGCTGAGCACCCTGAAAAGATGGCCTGGCATGACAACAGACGGATAATACAGAGGATGATATTTCTCGGTTTCTGAGTGGAACATTATCAAGTATTTCAGTAAATGGAGAGCTACGCAGATTTAAATAGAAGCTGATGGCGTCCAATATATCTCTTGCTGCTCTTCCAAGCAAAGAGAATATGTCAGACAAACCAGCAGGAGGGAATTCAATATCACTGGTGGGTTCCGAAGGAGTGAGCCCTGGCCTAAAATCATAAGTTTCTTGCCATTGTTGAGGATCTGCATGGTAACCAGAGGTCTTACACCACTCACGAGAGTCATCAGAATGAATAACATCCGCAGAAGGATAAGAGGGTTTATGTTGAAAGTAAAGTCGGGCAGACTCTAGACTAGACCTTAAAAGAGCTCCATCACTTGTGGATAGCTGGATAATGGCAGCTGAATACTGAGCCAATGACTGTGACAAAGTTGAGACCGATAATTTATACGAATCGGAAGGAAGACCTTCCAATGGTACCAAATCACTGAGCTTTACACGACCCAGAGCTGGCAGGCCATTGCCTGCCATGAAATCCTCTAAACTTTGCACTGCTTGTGCAGAAATATATTAACTCGAGACCATACCCACTGAATGTCAAATAGAAAACCAGTCAATTCAGAAAATAAAATGAAATAAAAAAACAAACTTCCACCATTGAGGTCGACTATATGAACTCTCAGTATCAATATCCCTACTGGACCAACTTTTTCATCCTATACTCAATAATTATTTCTCTGTATTTAACAGACAAATAACACTATTAGCAACCAATATACCAACATCACTAAACCTTAATCCCAACTACTAGGTATCGCCTATAAAAAAAACTTAGCAGATAACAAGCTATAAATATGTGACAAGTTTAGGAGCAAGGAAAAAGGTTGAGCTTGAAGATCGAAAAATTGAGGTTTTTTAACGCACCAGAGGCAGACGCTGCACTGCAACCGATTTCACCAACCATGGAAGTCTCAATCGAGAGAGAGAGAGAGAGAGGAAGAATCCAAATGCGAGAGGAATAGAGCGAAACGCACAACTCGAAAAGGGAGGAACAGAACAGTTCGCAGCCGCGGGAAACAGTGGTCGTTCAGCTGATCGCCGGAGACAGAAATTATTGGAGGCCCATTCTTGTGTTGGAGCATTTGGGCTTCTAAGATACGGCCCTATAGATGGGCAATGTTGGACCCAAACAAATTGAACATGTATTCTTTGGCACCATCATTTAAGCGTAAAAAATTGGTTAAATAGCGTGTCCAAATAAAGGTATCTTGTGAATTTTTTTTTACAAAGTACCTTCAATTTCTTATTGATTCATTCCCAAAAAAAATCGTGATTTTTATATATAGTCATGATAAGTACAAGTAAAGGATTTTTATTAACTTGATTTGAGAATTAAATAAATAATAAAAGAACAATTATAACCCATCCATTTAACCGCAGTGCCCAGGAGCGGAGCCAGCCTTCTGTTAGGGTTCATCTGAACCCTCTTTGGCGGAAAATATTATTATTTATACATGGTTAAAATTATTTTTTATGTATATATAATAAATGTCAAACCCCCTTTCGATTGGTTTGTGTGTTTAGTTTTCAGATTTTAAACCCCTTATTAAAAAATCCTAGCCTGGCAGTGCCCATAAACACATGCACATGCAATACATATATATACACACATTCGGTTCTTTTCGTTCAACACTTGGTTTCTTAAGATATCCAGCATAAATATACATCAAAGGCAAGTTTTTCATGTTGATGATTTTGAGACTGCATGGAGCCATGAATCAAAATAGCTCAAGAAAGCAGCCTCATTTTTAACTTGCATGTATTTTACAATTGGATTTTGCACTACTGACATGTTCAAATACAAAAACTCTTCATACACAGGTTGCCATCAATGGCCACATGATGAAAATTTAGCACCTCAAAAACCAAATTGGACCTCTTTCTTTGTTTTAGAACCAAACACCAAATGCATTTCCGTGGAAGACCTCAAAGTAAAATGTACCAGCAGATAAAAGGAGAAAATCATTCTGGTTCATCTGCGCTTGGTGGAGGTTCTGAACGTCTTCTCTTGGATTCATGACCACCCAACTGCAAGGAAAAGCTGATGTCTTCATCAGAGCCTTTCCTAAGAGCTGAGAGATTCTCGTATGCTGACTTATCACGATGATCATCTTGATTAGCCGGAGGTTGCCCATTGAAGCTTGGAATGAATTGATGTTCAACACTTGCATCAAAGTTGATCCCACTTTCTTCCAAGTTAAATGTAGCTTCCACAGGTGAAGAGTTTATATCAGGGCCACCAATGCCATCTTCCAAGGGAATTTGTTGAATGTGAAGCCCAAGAGGCTCTATTTTGTCCTTTGGAAGCATTATATCAGGAGGTGAAGAATCCCCAGCCGTAGAGCCCACCATTGTGGCAGAGGCAGCTCTCTGTTCTTGCACTGCAACTACACCAGTGATGGACACAGACAAGGTTATAACATACCCTCAAAGAATTGTAGATTTTTTAATTGGAAAAAAGAGGGGACATCAATGAAATGGTAAATTTATCGGAGCAAGTCCTACAGATGTGACAGGATTTAAAGCAACGGAGCCTACATCACTTTGAATAGACATTATTTTGTCTCCATGGATTGGGATTAAGAATGGGAGTCAGCTTAGTTCTATTCCATCTTGTGGTGCAAATACTAACGGTTAGCAGAAGGGATGGAATTCACTTGCTTTATCCTACACACATTATACAAATGAAGAAAGGAATATCGTCTACCCAAATAACGTCACTAGAGGAAATTGAGCATGTCATTTCAAGAAGGACAAGTCATTATACAGGTGCTTCTGAACTCTGAAGCTAAACAGACCTACTGGATGCCTGAGAACTAATGTGCAAACAATGGGATACTAATTAACTAATTCTACAAAGCAATTTATCATGCCTTCTAGGAACCCTTTGCATACACAAATTTTTCAACAAATGTCAAAATACAAACTACTAAATCTAGAGAGATGGTTTTGATAAAGATATGGTTAATTTAATTTTGATGTCAACCAATGAAACTTGCCCACTTTGAGAAAGATAATCAGCCAATTGCCAAGTGGCTTCTAATAGGCCAATTTAGTATAGTTAGATCTAACAACTTGCAGTACGTCTCTAAAGATCTAGACATCCATTGAGCTTCTTAGCTTCTCATCCACTCTAAATCACGCATGTTTTTCCTTCTACAACCACCCCTCTGAAAAAACTTGGGATGTATCACTCTCAAGTCTCAACATCACTTACTAACTGTAAGCCCTATGCCTGATAAACAAATTAGAAAGCACAATGGTAAAAGATACATTTAGGGGGGAAAACACATTGGAGATTTGTTTTTTTGTGCATGTAACCAAAAAAGAAAAAATCAGCTTTCTTTATCGGCAGAAATCAAGTGCTGAAGACCACAAACCTTTTAGAGCTTCATCTTTGGTGATGATATCAAGTTCAAGGAAATTGAGCAGGCGCCCAAGGTCAACTCCACTAGTCCAGTTTTCTGGAGATTGTCCCACCTTTAGTTTAAGCCGTCCCCTATTTGCAGTTCCGCCCCAAATAATACCAATTGGTCGGGGGTTTTCCCCATTCTCACCCTTTAAAACGATTAAACTTCCACTGTCTCCTTCAAGGTCAAATGTCTGCTGGTTTTCTCCATTGACAAGAAAATCAGTCAAGAAGCAAATCCCCTTCTCATCATTGTATTCAAGGGCATATGCCAAGACAGTCCCCGTAGTCAATCCAGAGCTTCTTCCGACCTTCGTCACTTGCTTTCCAATGAGACTACTAATAGGAGATTGCAAATCTATAATTTTGACATCTCCAATTTCCCCTATGCCCTTAACAGAAGTAGTAACAGAGGTCATATCAAAATCATCTGTGAAAGGGATGAATGCACCATCTGCCCTAACAAATGTCTCTGCACGAGTAATCAATTCCACATTTAGAAATATTACCAATGCAACAAGAAAAATAATAACTCTAACAAATTAAGAACCTTCAGGAGCAGAGCAGGTAACATGCAAGTGCGCAAAGAATTAACTTTTCATCTATCTAAAAACATAGAAAGAAACAAAAATGAAAATTTCTAGCATGGGTTGCCCTTGCAGTTAGTTCTACTATAAGAGATCTAATCCATGATATGTTGTGGAGGCAGGATGAAAATATAATCACAAGACAACCTCATTTTTATCATTTGACTATATTTCATTTCATACAACACCTTATGGATCAATACAGTGGAATCTGATTAGTGAGATCTCGAATAAGCGTTTACATAACCTTCTTCTATCCGAGAAATGATAGATATGAATTGATGATGGAGAAAGGATTAGTATCACAAGACATATTTACCAAAGCACAAGGCGAGGCATCATAATCCACTATTCATTTAGCGAATTTCAATAATGATTTGTAGCATCAGAACATTCTTCCTTCCAACATAAATCAGGAAAGAAGGTAAGAAGAAACACTTAACCTGGATTTATGCCAGCAAATATGCCATACCAAAGGTCGTCTCTGATAAAAGATGTAGCTCTCTCCACTGAACCCAGATATACTCCAGGTCCAAGTGTTGGAGGTAAAGGATGAAACATTTTTTGATTTGGGTAATCTAAGTCAACAGCAACATGCCGGTTTGTTAGGAAACCAACTTGTCGATTGCCTGACAGGCTCCTCACAATAGCACCCAAGGTTCCATATGTCTCCTGGCTTGCTACCTAAATATTTCCAATAAAATGTGGTGAATTAACATGTACGATCAGAGTGATAACCTTAGGGAAGAAAGAATTGACAAGCCAAACAAGTAGTTTACATCTGATTTCTTCTGCAGACTCTTTAATTGTTTATCTTCCTAAGATGCAGTTAAAAACGCTGGAGATCTCAACAAAGAAGCTCAACTAACTTGTGGACAAACAAAACCTTTCCCCGAGTCCCTTTTTAATGTATTAACCTTTGCTAGAATGCAATTTAAAATGCTGGAGATTTCAAAGGAACTCAACTGATTTGATGACTAACCAATTTACTCAGAAGGGATGTGAGTCTAACCAAACAATGGAGAAAGGTGTCAAAAAGTGTTTTTGTGCACATATAAAGTTTATGGGCTCTTAGACACATTACAGGAAATCATCATCCATTTCTTCCACCCTTTTCAAAATTATTAGATGCCTTTTAGTAATATAAGACTAACATAAGTTGTCCTTACTGCAAAGTTTTAGAAAAATATGGTAAGCATAAACCTAGTTCCGATACTGAATGATAAGCACTTCAGAAAAATAAAAATGTGCTCAGAAGCAAAGTAGCAGATGACTCCAAGGATCTGCCACACCCAAATAGTTGTTCTATGCAAGATGCTTAGAGTCGATCTACTAACAGGACTCGTGAAAATAGCAATACTTACCATAAATTTGCCCAACCTGCGGGATTTGAAAATTAATTGATGCATTTTCTAGGACTCTACTTAGACTTCAACTATCATATGAACTCATCAAAACTCAATCAAAGCATCTTTAGAGTAAAAAGTTGTGCTAAACATCACACTACCTGAGATCCTGAACCAATATATGGGTCACTACCCCGCAGGTCATCGACTATCTCTGTGTACAACTGCTCCTTGGGTGTCGGCTCTGGTGCACCAAAATAGGAGAACTCGACCACATCCACTTCACACCACACACCTCCAGGACCCTGATGATAAGTAACATATTTAAGCATAGAGAAAACTAAGGAATAAATGATGCAAGAATAACATTTCTTAGCAAGTGTTGATTCTTTGGGCTCTAATAATAGTTGAATTCACACAATTGAACAATCCCTATCGGGAAAAGTGACGGGGAGGAATACAGCACGAGAAGATAAAAGAAAATCAATGAACTAAATTTCATCCTCTTTTGTTTTTATAAGGAAGTAAAAGTTTCATCATCTTTTTTTGTCCAAATTCAGGAAAATCTTTCGCGAGAGGGTGACAGAAATAGGATAAAAGATAATTAGGCATCCTTTTGATCACCTCTAAAGCAGTAGGTAGACACTGAATTGGACTAAGCCATTGTTTGTGAACTTTCCGGGATACAAACACTAGTATTGCTGGTATATCAGTCAAAACACCACGTCGAATACGAAAACCAATTGCTGTACCAAGACTGTAGCAACGCAAGAGTTTGCTATGAGATGCCCTTATAGTCATGAGGTCAAGTAAGGTTGTTGCTCGCTGCCCCTCGGGCAATCGGCCAAGAGTTTCTGGCAAAACCCCTTTCTGAAGATTTGCGAAATAGTTTGCTCTCTCTTCAGCAGCATCATTTAGCCGACTAGGCCAGGAGAAGTATGCAGCATTACTCTCAGAGTGTTGTCCAGCCGATGCATAAGGTTGAAGTGTTGGTGGACTAAGTGAAGGAAGATTAGAATAACTGCAACAGTATTTTTCAAGATCTAAGGCTGACTCCTCTGACGGTGTTGAACCTGAGCAACGGGTTCTTTTATTTAACCTTGCTCGATCCATATTTCTGCTCATAGTTGACAAATTGTTATTCAAAGTCCAACAGGAAGAAAACCAAAAATTCACCCTAAAGTCTGACTTTCAAGGACAAGATCTTTGCTATCATAGAGGTATGCTCTATCAATCTATGTCAAAACTGATAAAGGAACAACAGTGCTCGAACCACAGAGAACGGCCAATGCAACAATTTAGCATAAATTCCAATTTGTTTCACATGTTTCTTTAATTAAAGCTGCAACATTAACTAAAAGATTTAACAATATCCAGTAAACTCAGTCTCAAATATGAAAATGAAAGTCCGTACAGTCAAAACGCACGTATCTACTGAATATAATATTGTTAACATCACCAAAGGAAAACTGTAAAAAAGATCCAACTGATTAAAAGAAACTATAGCACTGCCGGCCGTGAGTAACTTTATTGTTCCAGTCCAATACAAGTCATGATAATATAGACTCTATAAAGTGAATATTAAGCAATTTGAAAGCTATTTAGATCCGTCAAATGTGTTATTGCACCAGATAAACATGGCAAGATATTTTTTCCTTTAGTTAGCCACAGCTTACAACAAGATTATCCATCACATCATTTCTCTCAGCTACTTTAAAATCTGAAAGAATGAACCTCATAAGATGATAAAACTGCCTCAACAATCAACATGGCCCTAAGAAATCAGGTATCTTTCTCAACAGAAATATAAAATAAGTTCAACAACAACCATAATCAATCAATAATATGTCAACAACTATGCTTCAATCCCAAACTAGTTGAGGTCCGATATATCCTATTTCTCCAACAACCAAAATAAAAACAAAAGGTTCTCAGTCAAACATACATAACCAAGGAAAAGCAACAGAACCAGGAATAGGAAAATTGAAAAGAAACACTTAAGAGGAAAAACGGATAATAAATACAGTAATATTGAAGAAAAAACACTTATTTTGATAAAGATTGTGCACAGTACAAATTGATGGAACAAAATTAATGGGGTCCTGGAAAATTCAAAAAAAAAAAACATGGGTGTGTGAAGATAGCTCTGCATGAAGAAGAGAAAGTGAAAAAAGGAAGATCAATCGCAATAGTGATGGATTCTTGGAGAGAGAAAAAAAATGAGTTTTTTTTACCTCACATAGGCAGCCTAAACTCGATATGAAATTGGGAAAGGGAAACAAAAGGCTGCAAACATAGTCAAACCCACGCTACGCCATGAGAGGCCCCAGCGTTAAGAGTATTATATTTTTCTCTTCACTACAAGTATTGGAGAGTGTGACAAATACTATGTTGTCCATCGGCAACTTTGGAGAAATGGCGCGGGTTGGGGTGGGAGGGGGTGTAAGGAGTGTGTATCATATGCGGGCCACTGAATAATTGGACGGGTCGCCTTGTAACCCTTTTATGGGCCCAATTTGAATTTCAGGCCTCATAAGAACATTTTTCTCTTTTTTTTGAGATGGATTCTATATTTTATTTTTATTTTTATTTTTATTTTTTTTAAATTGGGGTAGGGGAACAAGAGAGAATCAAACTTTCACCAATAAAGTGAAGATTTAGGTAGTCAACCAACTAAGTTACTAAAATTTTTCCTTACGAATTCTTGTTCAATCAAACTCTAAAAGAGAGTCACATTTATATAATTAGTAAAAAAAAAAAATAGTTTATCTTTAAGGATACTCTCTTATAAGAATGGTGTGCATGTTGAAGAGCACTTTCCCCATTTAAGAAATCTTTACAAACGTTTTAACTATTGCTTTTATTGCGTTAAGATAGACTTTGGTTTTGGTATCTCCTTTCCTTTTTTTCTTTTAATGTTTCATATGGTATTTGATATTTACTGATCTTTTAATTACATATTATCATGGCATAACATTTTTTACTTGTGATTTTTTTCATTCACTGAACTCGAGGAGGGATCATTTCAATTCATCCACATTCCTTAGTGGTGTATGTCCTTTCCTTAATTCAATACGTGTCACATTCATAATTTGAATTCTCACCGCATAAGGCTCATTAACGGGGAGATGTGCTCCATATCATAACTTTTCTCATTCGCAAGGCTAGGAATTATATTCATCCTATCACTACTCTTGGTGGTGGAATTCCCTTAAAACCAATACTACAATCACAATTTACCAAACCCAATGAACTTTATTGATTTATAATTCTTACATTGGATATCAACAACTTGAATAAAGAATGATGAAAATGCATATATAATAGCAAACTAAGATCCATCTCATTTTTTATGAGAAAGACAGTCACTCAACATTTATTAAGACTAATTACATGAAAAAATACTAGACTTAAAACATATTTTTGACTAGAGAAATGAAAACAAAAGGTAGAATAATAATGAAAATATTCACATTAATAAACAACATATAGATCAGCCAATTCCTCAAATGAATCAGAATTAAGGTTGTTGGGGTCAGCATTTTCAAGTAACCAAAGAAGATGATCAAAAAGAACAACCTCACACTTAACAGAAAGATGATCTTTTTCCCCATGCTTCTGCTTTGATTTCTCTATTAGAGCATTCAATAGTGGATGGCTCAAGTGTTTTGATTTTATCACATATTTCCTTCTCGAGTTGCCAACAAGAATTGTCTCAAAATCTTCTTGATGAGATTCCACATTCCAAAAATCTTCTCTTGTAGACTTTGACCTTAAACTACTATAAGATGAGCTTCTTCCTAGTTGGCTTGACAAAGTCTTACACTTCCTCAATAACAAATTCAGCTTCTTCATCTTCTCTTAATTTCTTCCTTCCTTCCTTCTTGGTTTCATTAATTAAAATACTTAAATATGATATTGAGAAGATGAATTTTGCTAGATGGAAAGGTGAATATGGTTGGAAGGTCATTGTTTCATGGTTCTAACTGGGGACCTAAATTATTTCAAATGACAAAGACAAGCTATCTTTTAGTCTTTGTTTCAGATGGGGTCTCATGTGCTGTTTGCTCAATGTGTGTACTCATGATCAAGATTGTATTCATTGTGTCTTTGGAAGAAAGATAAGTATGGCCTACTATAATTAAGGTGATTAATGGAGTTAGCTCTTTAACCAACTAGGAACTTGCCTAAGTGCTCTTGTGTCTTTCCTCTACATATGCAATCATAGGCACACCATAAAATAATGTAAATCAGTAATAACCTTAATCCTTTTATGCCTGTTGAGATGTCACTCCATTAATTCTTTTATGGTCTATGACTTCCCGGGGTGGATAGCATAACTCAATAGCTTGAACCCTAAATCATGTATGTGTATTATAAATTCATTAAATATATTAAAAGGATTAGAACTCAATTATTAGCACGCATCTTAAAATTCAAAACTTCAAATCATGAAACTTATCACGCCTTTTATGGTTTTATAGGCTACCACTGTTTTTTTTTCCAAACCTAAAGATAGCCCGCCTTCCCATTTCCCAAAAGAAATTCTTGTTCTCTTTGAACATTTTCTGTGTTGTCAACTGTAATAGAGCTCGTATACCAATGAAGATGAGACATTGTTTTAGTGGGCACCAACAGATCTTGGAATAGATTACATCTTAATTTTTTAACAATAAACAAGCACTAAAGTGCCCATGGATTGATAGAAGTACATCCAATTCACTGTACCATTATGTGTTATTTTCTCTTTGACTGGATATTAATATTGTTAGTGCTTTCATGCGTACATTTCTCCAATATCTTTGTCGGTTCTATAAATCCATGTCGTTTTATTTTTTAAGTGAGTCACTATATGCATTATTTCCAAGGAAAAGAAGGAATAGTACTAGATATTGTCCAGACCTTTTGTCCTTTATTTGGATCTCTTTTTTAAAATGCCAAAACATTTGCTGATAAGGCAACCACTTGGACAAATAATAGACACACCAACAAAACGCAGTTTCTGCAATTGGTTCACTTGTACGAGAATCCTGCCCAACAAAAACAAAATCTCGTCGATTAGGACAGAATTATTTCATAAGATACAATCATTATCGTGCTGTCTTAGTAGTTAGATAAACGAATCACTATGAGGGAATCAAACACGCCTACTATTTGTCTCATACATAATAAACTACAGATGAAGTTACATTCCACCAACAAAATGTCATTGCTATCTGATTATTGAACATATAGTGACCAGATAATAAAAGAATAGGTACGCCTTACCTGCGCAGTGCTGGTAGAAGGGAAACAAAGACCCCTTCCATCTTAGCTTCCAAGCAAAACTACAACTGGCATTTTTTGTTGTTTTTTTTCGTTAGGAAAGCAAGTTGCCATAGTGCAAAAGAGCATATCAAATGGTGTGAATAATTGACCACAGCAAAAACTAGACATTCCAATTGAAAATAGTAATAGACTAATAGTAACTGTGAAAACAGCAAGTCAAAGCAGGATGCCTTATACATTTATCCTTGTTGGGTCAAGCTGTCAAGATCTATTTATTTAATGCACTCACACAAATGAAATCAAGAAGAAAAATGAGCAAAGAGCAGTTTTAAGTATCTCCAACTATGCAGCTAAGGTTTCAAGCTATAGAATTATCTGAATGCGCAGACTGTTTGGACAATTCATAACCCATCAAACTGACAAAAGTTCTACTTTTGAATCTTCTTTCCGTTTATTGCTAAAATCATATTGCAGTGCCCATCTAAGGCGTATGAGGGAGGGTAATAAGGAGTGAAAGAATTACAATAATATTACACAAGTCGAAAGACCTATGGACATTGAATGTTACATGACGAGCCAAAATTGAGATTTCTAGCAGCTGAGTGAAAACCATAAATCTATCTCATCAGCACCAGTTGCAGTGCCTTAAATTCACAAACCTGGCTATCTCATAAATTTTATGCTTCACCATAAAACCTCTCATAGCAAAATCTGCTGTCTCAGAAATCTGAATGGTTCAAAACAACCGTGAGCATCATAAAAATTCGTGAAATCTCCTTCACCAACTGTGTTTCAATTAGACATTGAACCGAAACAGCATTATATCCCCTTCTTGCACAACATAATCTTTCCCTTCTAACCTCAACTGCATACACAAAGATAAATCCTGTAACCAGCTTGATCTATTCTTTTGTTTGCAAGGGTCAGTAGACTCAGTGCTCAAAAAGAAGCACTATTTACATTCTATTACACAAGTAATTATCTTTATGAAAGAAAACTACATACTAGTAAAAGCTACATGAGATTAGCAGCCCCTTTACAATTTGGGGGTAGGGGAGGCAATGAACATCTTATTTTTAAATGCTGGAGCCGAAGTAAGAAGGTCAGGTAACAACTATCAATATCCAATTTACACAAACTAAAGATATTGAGGGTATCTGACATGATAATGAAGTGGTTCACTAAAAAAAATTTAAAAGGTTTGCTCCAGCAAAAAAATTTCCAATCAACATTAATCAGGAAATGACACCAAAAACAACAATGGATTCTATATTTGTGTTTGCCAAAGCTTTTCCTTCGGGAAGGTATTTTGATGTAACCACTGCATGTGCTTACAAACCAAAGATAGATTCTAAGGTTATTTTATGGGCATTTTTCTAAATAAAGCTTTTCAAGAGCTAAAATTGAAATATTTAGCTTATTTACCGTTACTTTAAATATTTATCTTTTGAAATTACACTGCAATCACGAGTCCTAAGTTTTAACTGATTCCTCGAGATATTTCAGGAAGCCAAGGAATATCTGAGGTACCTTTGGCCCATGGGGGAATACCCTATTTAGGTTCAGATATATCTGAAATTGAAAAGAAGGCTAGTTTTCAAATTTCAATCATACACTTGGTTCAGGTTGGTAGACTATCAATGGGTTATATACTGCTTTACTGTCTTAATCAAATACTACAAAGACATTTTATACAGTTCCTAACATCTGAGGTCAAAAATCAACAGAAGTAACAGTATCAAGGACCATAAATGATCAGAAAGTGCCAACTTACCAGTCCTTTCTCCCTTGCAGCTGCAAAAGAACCAGCAGAAACAAAGTCATCATAAGCAACCTGCAAAGAAGTAAAGTTGACAAACCATTTAAAACTTAAAAAAAAGTTTTCATTTTAATAGGTAAAGGGAAAGACCGTTCAAAAACTTATAGTGAAAAAACACTTGGCTAATAACATACCAAGAC